GCTTAACAATTATGTAGGTGTAACTTGTTTAAACCGATTTGTAAATAGTTCATAGTGTAGCTTTGTGCTTAACAATAAACAAGTTACACCTACATGAACCGATTTGTGAATAGTTCATAGTGTAGCTTTGTGCTTAACAATAAACAAGTTACACCTACATGAACCGATTTGTGAATAGTTCATAGTGTAGCTTTGTGCTAAACAATAAACAAGTTACACCTACAGGTACTGATTTGTGATTATCTGTTTCCGCTTGTGTAATATATCAGTTTTGATTTAAAGTATTAGAAAAACTATACAGTTTAAGTAGCAACATATATTGTCATATCTGTTTAAATGTCGGAATTTTATGATAATGCAGTGTGTATTGATGAATCAACAACTAATTAGAAAATGTGTTTGTTAGTTTTTCGTAGTTAATCACAAAACTACATAATGGGCTATCTGTGCTATACCCACCACGGATATCGAAACCCGGTTTTTAGACTTATAAGCCTTCAGACTTGCCGCTGAGTCACGGAAATATTAACGATAAGAATTTATTAGCTATTTGTTAAGCCTTTTACTCTCTATTTTGTCCTAATATTCAAAACGCCAGACACTGCAATGAATAATCTATAATTATCTTTATCAGACAAAGCTAACAGCTATTTGATGAATTCTATACTTTATCTTGAAAGATATTTCGTCTTAAGATCTAGGTATTGAAAATAAGTTTTTATATTCTAACGTATATGGCCCATGTTATTATTTTAATGAAAATCTTCACATTTTCCATTTTGAAATGAAATTGTATTTTTATAACTAAAAAAAAAACACTTTTAATCACTTTTCCACATGCTTCAGGGAATAAGAGTGAGTATTGTTTTATGTATTATAACGTATTTGTTTCCAACGCGTGTTTATTATCCGATTAAAAACAAAAGTATTTCCAATATATGATACTAAGACTAATCAAATCAAAGAAAGTACCTTGGATTAATTCATAGTCACAAGTCACTGTGATATTTATTCCGATTTATAGTCACAAGTCAGTGTGGTATCTATTCTGATTTATAGTCACAAGTCACTGTGATACTTATCCCAATTCATAGTCACAAGTTATTGTAATACCTATTCCAATCTATAGTCACAAGTCACAGTGATATCTATTCCAACTTATAGCCACAAGTCACTGTGATACCTATCCCAATCCATAGAGCCACAAGTTACTGTGATATCTACTCCAATTCTTAGAGTCACGAGTGACTGTGATAATTATTCTAATTTCTATGGTGAATGTGATACCTATCTCAATTCATAGACACAAGTAAATGTAATACCTATCCCAATTCATAGACACTAGTTTTTGTGGTACCTAGTCCAGTTCTTTGAGTCACGAGTAGCTACAATAATTATTCCAATTTCTATAGCCATTGGGATGCCTATCTCAATTCATAGACACAAGTCACTGTGATGTCTATTTCAATTCGTAGACACAAGTCACTATGAGAACTATTCTAATTAACAAAGTTACAAATCACTACGATATTTGACTGAAGCACTGAGATAACATTATTTGAGAATTTTCCTATAACTTAAGAAATATTTAATAGAAATGTGTAGAAGATTTCAATATACATGAGACTATTTCTAAGCAATTTCGTTAGTGTTATAGATAATTGTCGTTAGATATTTGATGTTGTAATCGGGATTTCTTTTAAACAGAGTAAAATCGTTTAGCATTTAAAACTGAACTATTAACATCCAGTATGTGAGTCAGTGAGACCGAATTAAGTTTTTGAGTGGGCTACGGAGGGATGTTACGGTTTCCGCTAATCAAGTTATAACAAACTAAAATGTACAACGATAAGGTCTCGATCTGTTAACCTCCAAAAACCACACTTTACTGCCAAAACAACTCACCACTCAGTAGTGTTCGACCACGAAGATGCAAAGTTTAAAGGGTTGGCCAGACTGTGTTCTTGTATAAAATAGTGGAAGTGTTCGTGTTCAGGCAACTATCATAATTAACTACTCCTCAGCAGCGAGTAAGCTTCTTTGAGCCTTCCTCAACCATCTCTATTGACAGATTTCGCGAAAACCGCGGAGAAAACGGCTTTATAAAGCTGGAAAACCAGATCTTGTGTTGCACAATATGTACGAACACTACAGTGCTTTTTTTGGATTTTGGATTGAGGTATTGGTTATATTTCCTTATATCCTGGAAACTAGTTCGAATTCGACCATGTTGGTGGGAATTCGTGTTCCAGATAAAGCAAAAAGTTCAAATCTCTATTCAGAATTTAAAAAACTGGAGTATCAGAAAGCTTTGTTTGGCAATCAAACCATCAAACATGTTTCCTTGACTCGTAGAATGGGTGTTTAAAAAACTTTTAACAGTCATTGCAAATTATAAACTACAATAATCATAATTCATATATGCTAATATTTTGTTTTCCATCCTGTCATTTTGTACTGTGGATTCTTAGATGGTAAGTGAACTTTTCCTACAATGATATATAATAAACATTGTATATATATTTTGAATTTGTGTTCTCAAGAATCTTAATTTATCAAGACTTACCTTAGTGTGTCGAATAAATAATCTTTAGAAATAGTTCTTCTAAAACTGTTTTAAGGTTACTGATAAAGAGACGACGGCATTATTTATATGTTCCATTGTATAACATAAAGATTAAAATGCCCAGTTTACCAAAGAAACTTTAACTTTCTACAGATCAGTCAGGGTTTTTTTATCTTTGCAAAATTTGGAATTACAGAAATTTCTCAATTTTATAATACGAAATTTTTATATAGCAGATCTTTGTAGTGTTAAGTTGTAAGAAGTAACGTAACTGTCAAAGTAGATCAACGCTGGAAATATGATTTTCAGATCTGAAATATTTTATACCCTAATAAAATAAATTAACGTATATGCTTTTGTTTTTCATCTTCATCATCTGTTTATACCGCAATGCCTCTAAACAAGATGTGTCGGGTAAGTCTACAATTTTCTTACATCAATATACAAATGTGTGTTTGGTTTTCTATCTAAGTGTATGGATGTAAAAATTGCCAAAAAGCATTATTATTTTTGGAAAGAAACGAATCGCTTTATACAATCTGTTTGGACACAAGTAGAGCAATATAAGTTATTTTCGTAAACAGTATATAAGTAAAAGAAAAAAGGTTAATTATTAAATCAGCTAAATTACCGCCATAAATATTGAGAAAATATGAGCCAATTACGAACAGCATTTAGTTTATGATGTTTTTTACATTAAAAATTTAAATAATCAGTGATATGAGATTGGTATGAATAAACGATGTTTATTTATTATGGAATTTTTATCTGTATTTTACATTAGTAATTTGTTGATTTAGAGTACCTATAAAGACCTCGTTTTGCTTATGTCAAAAATGTTTTGATAGATATCAAACTGAATATTGCATAGTGACATAAAATAAATTCTGTTGAGTTATGATGAACACAAACTGAGTAGTTTAATCCCTATTTCATCATTACGATTTTTTCATCCCAAAATCTTTATAACCATTCTTTTACTAATAAACTGTTAAAGGCCTGTGCCTGTCAAAAACTAGAAACAAAACACAACTAAATAAACATACACCTAGTGTCCTGTATTAACTTGATATTGGTAATGAGGGACACAAAGGCACGAGTATTCCGTTTTTTAAATGTCCGGCTACACTCTTTCATTGAGTCTTTTAAATGGTTTTCCTTGTCTACAAAGAAATTGGGTTCCTTCAACAAAAGTCTGTATTCTGTTTCGCATTAACAAAAAATAACAAGAACTACTTAGTGATTACAGCTATTGTGAACCTGTCTCAATTATAAGAAGCAAGTTTTTCAGCATTAACCACTCTAAAGGTAATGACTGCACTTCGTTCGTCTGTGGCCATAATTAGGCTTAACGACTGAATAAAAGCGTTTCATGATGTCTTCAGAAATGTAATTGTAACTTTTTCAAGCAGTCCTCTTACGTTTCTAAAGACACTCTCACGCAAACACTGCTTTGGTATGTTATTGATTCTCAGAAATGAACAGTAAATCCCGTCTTTTGCTTGTGACGTTTTTACAAAATTATCGTAAGCTTTCGTGACTGAGGTTTTATGGTTCTATAAATACCGGGATATTTTGAAGTGTTTCCTCCATTTAATGCGAGTGATTTACCATAATAGAAGTGTAAGCAGGCTGGTCATTTCCGTTTGGTTTGTTCTAAGTTGTAAGTTCGTGATATCTAAATCTTCAAATCAACAGCTGAATATAGCACAAACATTAAAGCATTTAAATATGTCATTATTTACTGTCATCAGCTTCATTACATTCCTAGTGAAAATATAATTTTCACTAGCTTACAATCTTACAAACCATGCGCAAATACAAAAAGTATATGAATCATATATATTTGTTTTGAAAGAATATACTCTAGTCATTATTTCCTGATTCAAAGTAATTCGTATTGAACTATATTTCTTTAGTAATTTTTTTAGAAATGTGATAATTCTGGACATTAATGTTTTATGACAAATAATCTAAGAAGCCCAATATTCCTGTGCTTTGAAAACTACACATTCATTCTTTACGGAATAATTAGTATTTTAAAACTCGATAATTAGCTTTGCCTTTGAAGAAGAAAAGCGTGCCTTCTGAAAGCTTTGGGAATATCTGCTTTCTTTCATTGTAATGTATTTGCTTTCATTTATGGATTTTCCAAGTTTCTTGCATATTTGTCAGTAATCTGGACTTGGAGTGTTATATGCTCCAAAATATGTCGGAACTTATTCAATAGTAGGAAGGTGTCCATTCGTAGAGGATATAGGACCGCTTTGATTTATAGATGTCGGCAAAGAATTCGATAACACATGTGATATTCAAGTTGTCTTAAAGATGTTCAAACAGACTGAATTTTGATTATTTGTTTCAATGTCTCTGTAGACCCACAATGAACATTTATCAATAGGAGTGGTACAGTACACATATCACCAATGGTATCTCACGAAGAAATTGGACTAGCTTCACCCAAATTTGCCAACCATATCTCGTTTTTTGACCTGGCTTTTTGACAAAGGTCTAGCTCTGTCTACTATCACCTTATATACGGCAGCATTATTGACTACTTAATAATTTGGTTATTGAGCTGGATTTACTATTATGCAGATATTATAAGGGCAATAGACTGTTGTACATCAGGGTGGAACTATAGTATTGTGAAATGGAAAATATTGACAATAAAATTCGGATTCACTCTAAATTTTATTGCCTCTCATAAAGATAGCAGAGGCTTTAAAACTTACCACAAGAACATTCCCCACCAATTATACCACCTCCAGCACCTTGCATTGTCTGAATATAATAAGTAGGATCAATTTCCTTATGTGGTTCTCTCAATAATTTACGATGAAAAGCTACTCATCACATCACACGAATCCAATCACTCAATATCTAACTTTGGGTTCTGAGTGCCTCTTTCCTGTTTGAAGTTCAGAGAAGCAGTTTTCAGATTGGTTGCCACCTGTCAGATTTCAGTGTTTATGATATCTTTTGAATGTTAGCGCAGTTGATAATAATTTTATACTGACTACTGTTAAATGAATCAACTAATTGGAAAATAATCTGACACAAAGTCTTAGCCTTGAAACATTCAGAACCTAAAGAAAGTTAGAAGTGAAATTTTAAGTTTCACAGAAAGGTGAAGAAAATTAGGAAAGTCTTCATATTAAGTCGTATTTTCCCTTGATCTATCCTTAGCCCTTGACGGCCAAAATGTTTTAGTGGAAGTTGTATTTCTTTATAATTTCCTATTTTGATGACAAAGTTAACTGAACTCCCGACTAGACATCGTCTTGCAGCTTCGCTATGATGTGAATATATCATCAGACAACAAATGATCAATGTTTTTCACACATATAAATAATGAAGCGTTCTATAAACGCACGCGAGGAAATCCTATTAAAGTAGCAAGTCAGTGTAGTAAACCTTTGAATTCAAACGTCTGTAACTTCAATACATTATTTTACCCAAATGCTCTTTACACTTGATGATAAAAATTACGTAAGCTGCACATGTTTCTCTTGCACAATTCTCTTCATTTACCCATTTCGGTTTCTAAATCAAAGGTGTGTAAATATATCATTTCAGCTCTATTTTTGTCTCCCACAAGTCAAAAGGCATATCTGAAACGCTATTTTTACACGTGTCTAATTTCAAATCCAAAATGAACAAATTAAGAGGAATGTGGAAAAGAAATATCTGAAATTTACATAACTTTCACCACAAATTGTAGGCCTATTGGTTTCTAGTGCTTCATCAGTTTTCGATGCTTAACTGTTCCTTACCTTTAATTGCTAAGATATTTAACTCGATAATCTTCCAAGCAATCAAGTGATTTCAATAATGGAAACTGTATTAATCGTTTGAACTAATGTGTTAAACTATACTCTTATGAAACTTTGATAAATTACATGTTTCTAAAAAAAAAAAGTTGTTTAGTATACCTTCCTATAGGATTTTGTGTTCTAAAGTTCTATGTATGAAAAAACGGCAACATCTAATCACTTTTTTAAAAACAAACGACAACATAACTCCTTTACCTTAATGCAATATTCATATTATTTCTGCCGTAAAAACCATAATTTACACAAGTTCGAACCATGTTATACTTTTTATCTATACATAGAGCATAATTGTATTAGAAGCCAAAAGATTTATCAGATTTTACGATCTCATGTTATTCGAGTTTCTTGTTTAGTTGTTGTTATTAAAATATCTGATTTATATTCTTTTTCACAACGCCATCTAGATGGATCCAAGAGTAAGTACAGTTCTATGTCTTTACACAAACTAAACATTCTTTTACTTTTAGTGATGAAACCGAGATTAAAATGTTTAGTATATGGGGAAAATTGCCAATCTTAACTGATGTGTCTTAATAAATTATTACTTTCCTTAGAAACATACTATTCTAGGGAACAAATCCTCTTTTTTTTTTCTTTACTCAATGATTTCCTGATCTTTTGGGGAGTTACATAGCTATATACTGTACAATATTATTATATTAGCCAACAATAGACATTTCAATTCTGTACGATTTCTGTGTGAACTTTGATTGCCCAGGGTCTGAAATACAATGCTTCATCTTGTTCGAGTCTGTCTCCTCTAGAATCAGACAACATTACACAAATCAAAATTGTGTAAAGTCTCAAACTCAAGAAAAGAATGAGGTGAAATAACTTAAGTGGTATAAGATATAAATCTTCGTAAAAAAGCGGTAAATAAAAAAATACAATCAAGAATAAGAAATAGAATAGATTAAAATGTTTGGTTCTTTGTTATAGATTTCGCGCAAAGCTACACGAGGGCTATCTGCGCTAGCCGTCCCTAATTTAGCAGTGTAAGACTAGAGGGAAGGCAGCTAGTCATCACCACCCACCGTCAACTCTTGGGCTACTCTTTTACCAACGAATAGTGGGATTGACCGTCACATTATAACG